CGGCTCCGCGCAGCGGGGAGACCGCGGCAGCGCCCGGGGCCGGGGCAGGAGCTGCCGGCTGCGCCTGCCCTGCGGCACTAGCCCTGCTCATGGGGGCAGCGAGGGCCGCTGCGCACGGCCTCGCTGGCTGCTGGGCCCGAGAAACTTTATATATTCTTATTTTTAGAAGGTGGCCTTTTAAATATCAGGGGTTATGTTCCCCGTTTGGAGCTGGGCAGCATTAACGCATGGAAATTCCTTGTGGAACCCATGGTGGCATCCAAGGCACTGGGGTGCCACGAGAGCCCCTGCGGCCCCTCGGCGGGACCAGAGCCCCTCGCAACGTCCCGCGGCCACGCGCCCATCCTCGTGCTCCATTGCCCCATCCCCTGGCCACGCTCCTGCCCTTGCGCTGCCATCACTGTGTCCCGTTCCCCCCCCCCCCCCCGCCGGCCGCCCCGCCCTCCTCGGGGACCCCCGGTGCCGCAGGCCGCCGCAGATGGGCCGAGCAGCCAGGAGAGGCGCCGAGCGCCCGCGCAGCCCCAAGTCTCCCCGCCGCGGCCGTCCCGAGCGCCGCCCCGAGTAATCCAGCTCTGTCGCTTCTGTCCCGCAGGGCCGATGTTCACGGGAAAACTGCAAATACCTTCACCCGCCGCCACACTTAAAAACGCAGCTGGAGATCAACGGCCGCAATAACCTGATCCAGCAGAAGAACATGGCCATGCTGGCCCAGCAGATGCAGCTCGCCAACGCCATGATGCCCGGCGCCCCGCTGCAGCCCGTGGTAGGTGCGCGTCGCCTCGCAACAGATTCATATTCAGGGCTGCAAAAAAACCTGCAGAAGACACCATGAAATCCGCTGCTAGCAGTGTGGTTCCCCAGGAGCTGTGTGTGTGCCACTTTGTGCCCTTAGTTATAAGCAAGCACAGCTCTCTGCGTAAACACATCGGGGCACGAGTAGGCACCAGCCTTTGGGGAACGTGAAAAAATGAATATTTTAATGCAGTGCTTTAGGTTGGCATTCCTTCGGAATGCAAACGGAGGATAACACGCGGGGCAGCCGTGCGGACGCGCGCAGCGGGAGGCAGCGCCCCGCGGGGACCGGGCCTCCGAGCCGCGCGTTTCCCCGGCGCGGTGCGCGCTGTCCAGGGCACCGTCCTGCCTCACGGTGCTGCCGCTTGTGTTCTGCTCTCCCAAAGTCAATACCACGTGCTTCAATAAGAGCGAAGTGGACTCACGTAGTGAGCGGCTCCAGTTTAGCCAGAGGGACGGTAGGACGTGCCCGTTGGGGCTGCTGCTTGGAACGCGCTGGTTTGCCGAGCGGCAGGGAGGGATGCGCGCGGCGGCCGGGCCCCTCCGCCAGGAGCCCTTGCGCTTCATTCCTTACTGCCGGGTTCCGTCCTGGAGGACCCTCGCCACGGCAGGCCCCGCTGCTTTGGGGGACGACC